GATAAAATGTTCTCAGCGTTTATTTGGAACAACAAATTAACCCCCCAAAATAAGTAAGTCTCAACTGTCAAAAGACTATGAATATGGAGGCTTAAAAATGGTAGACATAAAAAATTATGTGATAAGCCTAAAGTTGTCTTGGATTCGAAGATTTTGCACTAAACAAAATGCCTGGAATTTGTTTTCTAATCAATACGACATGAATATAGTGGTTAGCATGGGCCCGGTAAATAACACCCTTGTTTCAAAAATAGAAAATCCTTTCTGGGCAAATATTACCCAAGCGTGGACAAAGTTTAGTGAAAAATTTGAACCAAAACATAATATAGATATACTAAACCAACCGATATGGGGAAACCAGTGTGTTAAGTTGGTTTCTTATAAAAGAAAAACTTATTTATTCTTTAACAAAGAAAAAATGTATTATTATGGGGGGTGATGAAGGGGGATGATGGTGGGGTGATGTATCACGCGTAAGCTAATATCATTAAATTGTTTAAGCCTATAATTACCTTTAAATCGCTCTTTCACAAGGCAAAAAATAAAAAAAATAAAAATTTTCCTCAAAATTCATTCTTGGTGATTTGAATTGATAAAAAAGAGAATTTTTTTGATGTGCAAAAATTACTCCCTTATGGAAATGGACTGTTCCAAAATATGTGACTGCACGTCGCATACTTTCGCACACGAACTTTCGAACGCTGGCAGTTTCGCTTCGGTTCCGAAACAGTGCATGCGCGCACATGGATATATATGCATTATTTTGTTATGCTAGAGCTCCAGCGCAGCTAGATAGCAATAGGTTAGGGCGGAAATACGGGAACTTTGCCACATCCGGGACTTTCTTAACCTAGCAACCAGCTGTGCCGGTGAAAACAACAGCCTGTCTCCGTGAGCTTACACACGCAATACCCGATTTGAAAACCTAAAGCATATTAATTTCCTTGTATATATGCCGAAAACTTATGGAGTAGTAGGTTGTCACAATCATATATATTGCACAGATAAGAAAAGATATTTGTTTGAGCTGCCAAAATGACATAAGAGTCCAGAGAGGCGTAATAAGTCATAAGTGGCTGACTGCCACTTAAATGTAAATGAGTAAATGTAAACGGTACGCACTGGAGTCCGTCAAAATTCTCCACTATTTGTTCTCATCATTTCGTGACAGGTAACTACTATTTTATAACTGCGTGTGTGTGCGTGCGCGCGTGCGTGCGTGCGTGTGAGTGTGTCACTGTGTGTGCGAGTGCGTGTGCGTGTGCGTGCGCGCGTGCGTGCGTGCGTGTGTGCGTGTGAGTGTGTCACTGTGTGTGCGAGTGCGTGTGCGTGTGCGTGCGCGCGTGCGTGCGTGCGTGTGTGCGTGTGAGTGTGTCACTGTGTGTGCGAGTGCGTGTGCGTGTGCGTGCGCGCGTGCGTGCGTGCGTGTGTGCGTGTGAGTGTGCTCACTGTGTGTGCGGCGCGAGCCGGCATTGGCCGTCGCGGTGCGTTGCGTGCGTGTGCCGCGCGTGCATGTTTGTGTGTCCTGTTTGTGAAGAGTGCTTGTGCGCTGTGCGTGTAAGCTGTGTCACTGTGTGGTGCGTGTGCGTGCTGAGGTGTTTGCACTGTGTGTTGTGCTGTGCTGGCGGGCCGGTGGGGGGTGAGTGTGTCATTGTGTGTCGTCGTGCGTGGGTGTGCGGTCAGCGTGTGGTGGCGTGTGGGTGCGTGTTGCGTGGGTGCGGGGGCGGGGGGGGGGGGTGGCGCGCATGGCGCGTGTTTGGTTTGTCATTGTGTGTGGTGTCTTGGGTGGGCGCGGTTGGTGGGGGTGCGGTGCGGGTGGAGGGAGCGGGGTGAGGGTCACGTGTGTGTGGGTGTGATGCGTGGGGGTGGCGTGGGTGAGTGGTGGTGCAGCGTGGGGTGTGCGGGGGTGGCGGGCTGTGGGGGGGGCGGGGCGTGGGGCCGGGGGAGGGTGCACTGGTGGGTGCGGGGGGGGCGTGGGTGGGCGGGGGGGGGTGGGGCGCGGGGGTGGGTGTTGCGTGCACCGCCATGTGTGGAATCTGTGGACTGTGGTTTTTGTTTTCGAGGCGGAGGATTGTGGGGAGTGAATTTGTATTCAACTAGATGGCAAAAGCGAGAGAGGTAAATAAGAATAGGCGAGGGAGAGAATATTTTATATTTGCCAGTGATACGTATCTGTACAATACATAGATGTCATAATTATAGCTACAGAAAGGCCTATCTATATAGCTTGGGCGTAAGGCCATATTAGAAGACAAGTTAATCAAAAAAAGCTTATTTAAAGACTTCCAAACCGAAAAGTGACGGATAATTTGTATCGTGTATTGCAGGTAAATCGTATGGGCCCAGTGACGCGTATGCGAAAGCGTTTGAGCCAATATTTCGAAAAAACCTGGTTTGGTACGGTGCGAGGGGTAACGTGAGGGTGTTGAGGAGGCCGTAAAACCTGAGGGTTTATGGCGACGGTAGGGAGGCGAGGGAAACGCGGGTTTTAGGAGGGGCGTAAGAGAGAGCCGAGGTTGAGTCGCTGATATTGTTAGTTTTATTTGAATAAACCTGGTTTTAGGACCGTAAAACTTAGCTGGTTACGACCGAAAACCCCAGTTTATCGAAGGTAAAAGACCTGGTTTTAGGAGCGCGTAGAAGGACGCTAGGTGTTGTAGCGGCGCGTCAAACCCTAGGTTTTACAGACCGTAAAACCCTAGTTTATTGGACGTAGAACTAGTTTTTAACGACCGCTAAAACCTAGCTTATCGACGCTGAAAAAAACCGGTATGCTCTATGGGGCGTGTATGTAGATAGTTTCCAGCATTTGTCGATTTTTTTTGGGAGATTTCTTGCACCTCATGTCTAAACACATCTAGATCTTCACTGAGTACAGAAAAAAAATGGGTGCAGTTTTTCGAGTTAACGAGTTTTAGTAGGCCTCATTGGAATTCTAAAATGCGGCCAGTCAGCGGAATCCTTCTTTTTTAGAATAATTCGCAATTAACCAATCTACTCATTCAAATGTCAGTTACAATCATTTATTCGGTATTCTATTTAGAAGGCGTCGAATGCGAAAGAGACCAAAAGATTCGGAATTGCGGAACAAAATGTAGAGGCGCACTCGTAAATACTCTAAGATTAGCAGAAAGATGCCATGAGTATGGCCACCATATTCAGGCTTTTTCTACGTTAAAATGCCGATACGTTTGTGACCAATGGCGACATTGGGAAGATTTTTTTCGGTGTCTAAACCAATTGTTTTCAGTTGGCCCATATGCAGGATTCCAATAATAACAACGTATTTATGATTGCAGACACTCTTACCATCCTCCAAAACAACTTAACTGCAAAATAATGCCTAGAAGCATGTAAATTCAATATAAAATTCAATTATAAGTTGAGATGGGAAAATCATTTTTTTTTTAAGTTACGACAATTGCTTACATGTATGAATCAGGCAGCTTAATCTAGTTGTCATTGCTTCAATCATCTGCTAGATCTCGCCAATCATGGTGGTGTAATGTTAGCTACAGCTGTCGCCTTCCCCAACCACATTGCAAAGTTCGCGTACAGACACATTTTTCCTCTGCATGAGCAACCCTTCGGCGAACACTGATTTCACAGTTACACCTGACGCAGCATGCCAGCACTAAGACGGGGCTGCACGTGCCAAACCTGAGAAAGAACGGTCAGTAGCTTTTTGTTCTAGGTTTCGCCCCCCAAGCGTCAGCAGCATCCAAACAAGTTGGTTTCAGACCATAATCCTCGGTGCATATATTAGCCTGGACATTGGCACGGCGTATATGTTTAATCCATGCTCCCTGACCGGTCGGTGCCCAGTTCATCCG